TGCGCACACGTTTTGGGGTGGTTTACGGCGTTTTCCCTGCCCGGCTGCAGGCGTTTATTATTTAAGAGTCATTTTATTCCTGCCGTTAGCGTTAATATTTTTAAACACACCCCCGCCCTCCCCGGTGCCCGCAGACGGCGATGCTGCCGCTCCGCGGCTGCGGCTTTGCCGGACAGGGCCACGCGTGGTTGGGTTGCGGGTTTGAATTTCTCACAGCCCCGGTGTCACCGAGGGGGATTTTAAAAAGCACGCACAGCCCAGGGAGGCGCGCCCCTCTCTGGGAAGATTTCCTCACTCGGGGTCTGCTCGCTTGAGCGATATTCATTTTATCCTTTAATCCCGTAGGTTTCTCCAAAGTGTTAGAGTGCAGAGCGAGGCAGAACGGCTGCCCGGGAATTTGGGTTTACTTCAGGTATAAAAGCTGCGCCTCCCAGCGCAGATGAATTTTTTATAACCGTCATTCTGAAACTTCACGGATCAGCCAGGTTTTTATTCCTGCTAAACCTCCCGGTCGCTTTGCAGCATGAATTCATTGTCTTATGCTTTTGTCTCGCAGATCTTACGGGGTTTTCTCCATCACCAGAAGCTCAGCTGTCGTCCCCCCCCGAGCGGTACCCACGTCCACCAGCCACAAGCCAAAAGAGCCAGATCCTTTTCTAAATACCGCAAAAAAAAATTATATTTATCCTGCCTTAATGTGCTCAGGCGGGTTTCAGGCACTTTCTGCCCATACCGCTGAAACAGAGTTAAAGGTATTGGGGCAGCTTTTGGTCAAAAAAAAAAAAAAGCGCTTTCTCTCCAAATCCGGGGTGCCTTGGCTGGTGTTTTAATCGCAGCCCTTGCAGAGGGATGGCTCAGAGACTGCCGGAGCGGGATTTTCCCCGTGAAATCCTTGCAGAGGCTGGGAACGCAGAAGCCGGGGGCTTGGCACCCTCTCCTGGTGTGCGCCCAGACTGCTGGCGGGCAGGACTTGGGGTGCTGAGCTCCCCGAGGCTGCCCGAAGAGGGAAGGGATGGGCAAATAATTTGCACTTTACAGCTGAATTCACGGACAAAAACTCCGGAATAAATACAGCAAGTTCTGTCTGGGGACCCTGTTTGAGCTTCGGGAGGTGGGGGGCGTCTTTTTCTTACATTTAAAAATGTTGTGCATGCTTGTTTTCTTGTAACTTCTAGGAAAGTTGTGAAGGGACAAAAATCACACACAGCCTTGCCTTTTCCCGATATCCCTGGTTTGCAGAAATACCCGACTGCTGTCATGTGCTGCGTCACTTCTCATACTCTTTGAGGCATTTAGGAAAACAAAAGGGAAAAAAAGCGTAAGTGGAGAAACGCAGGAAATGGTTTTAAACTAGATTTTTTTTTAACTTGGTTTTATTCAAGTATTTATGACACCATAAATGGCCAAGAATTCGGGAAAAACACTGTGAATTGGCAAAAGGTCATCTGAGGTGAGTCCCACACAATGCTGGCAATACCATCTGGACAGACTGCAAGTAGGAACGATCGATCTGGTTTGTTTTCAGTAAATCAGAATCATTCTAGAGTGGCACGAAAGCCCTGCAGAAGAGGCTTCCTTCGTGTGAGGAACAGCCTGCAGAGGGTCAGGGCTGGGAAAAAGCTGCAGAAACTGCTGCAAGGGCTTTTCTGTTTCCCATACCTATGCTCCTGCTCAGTGCTCCCTCCCCAGAGCTCAGATGCCCACAGATCGTTGGCGGCAGCAGGTCATTGACGCAGCCCTTTCTGCTGGGAGTGAGGCTTTCCCCCCCCCCCCCCCCCCCTTTTTTTTTTTTT